CAAGGCCAGTGTCTGCCAGATGAGATTCAGGCTGCAGGAGGATTCAGCCTGCAGGAATTCTGGTAGGTAAATGATTTAGCTAAAAGTTAAGCTAATAGCTACAAGCTGTTTGCTAAATATCAGGAGCCAGGACCTGAAGGCGTAAGTGGAATTACTGTTTATTTAATTAAGGTATGAATCAAATCTTCACTTCCTGATTCATATTCCTAGGTGATCTCAGCAAATAGATAAGCTGTTTCAGAGAAGCCCAGCTCTGCGGCAGGCTTTCCTGCGGAGCACCGCATATCCGCTGCTCATTCCCACTCGATCCTGGGTGCCGTTTTGGGCTGAAGCATGCACCACAGTTCTTGTTTTAAAGATTGCTTTTCAGATTTGGGGTTAATGGCAAGTGAAACTCAAATATAATTTACTGAGGAACAGAGTGAGAAACCGATTTTTACATGGATCACTTCAAGGCCTTCCAAAACGTTCCTCATCTGCTACAAGCCGGTGTGTTAGCGAACAATGGACCGGAAACAACGCACTAGAGCAAATTTTTTACTTTGTCTCATTGGAACTGTAGCTGTACCTTTTACTTAGTTTTTATGAGTTGTCAGTGATTTTGGGTCTCTCTGTCTTTGGTGGTCAGCAAACACTTACAGGATCTAATTCACAAAGGGGAGGGTTCATCGCTTTCCGAAAAGGAGGTGTCTTTAAGAGACCTTAAATGAGATACCTTCAAAATGAGGCATTGAAACCACTAGTTACTTAAAACAAACTAGAAAAACATGCTCAGGAGATGCCACCCCATTTGATAGCGTTTATATATCATTGGAAGATTAACAGGGGATTTTTCTGGAGACTAGATTGCAATCATTAGGAAAATAAAGTAGTTATTTCTGATTCTCAGAGGAAGACCTGGGTAGCCCTCATCGATATTTTAACTTCCCTTTGGTGAGTTTTCTTTGTCGCCAAGGAGGGCAAACACACTGGCTTTCAATCACAGTTAAAGGGAAAACATAGATTACATTTTAAAACAATGTGTATTTTGTTTACTTCTGTAAAATGTTTTTGTAGCCAAGAAGTTATTCGGGCAAGAATAATATGGAAAATGAGGCCATCCACAAACAAATCAGATAGATAGAATCATTTTAAACAAATTGTTAGTAATCTTTTTGCTTCAAAGCATAGACCCATCATAGAGCGTAGGAAGACTGCTCCTCTATAGGCAAGGGAGAGTATTTCATCATTCAGTTTCCTCTGAAGCGTGAGGTAATGAATTAAATTGGATTGATTTGCTCCACTGCATCAGTCTTTATGTTTGTGTGATAGACAAAGATTGTACGTAGCAAACCACACATTTAAAAATCAATTTGAGGATTTAAAATAAGTATATTCACCTTTATTCTCTTCTATGTGCGCTGTGACTCTCTCTCTCTGCAGACAGTCTTAAACAATGTGCAGCACTTCCCAACCATTTCTCCTTACTAATGCGCCTCTATTTAGCCTAAGTTCAGTCTGCAGCACGCGCAGTGTCTCAGGGACGTAGCCTGAGATCAGGCATTACAGCAGCTCTGGTGAATCTGGATTCAGTTCTTCCCTGCTCATCCAAACCTTTCTTTATTCTACATCTCAACAAGGCAGAATTGCTGTTTGTTTCTTATTCCTGTTAGTGGCTTTTGACACTCACAGAATCATGGGTAGGAAATGCAGAGGCATGGCTCAGGCTATACTGTCTGATCCTGTACGTCTTTCAATATGCTTTTGCCATCCACCCACCATAATGCTCTGTATGTCCTAACTGGTCTCCCACCCAAATCCCAGATGACATTTTTTTTGCATGCCTATTGGCAGAGACATTGTTATTTTGGTTCCATTTATGGCAGTGAAAAATTCTGGCTTCAGCTACATTGGTTTCTGAGGACATTCATGATTAATTTTTCTTTTGCTTTAGGTACTGCTTGGGTTGAAAGGTGAGTTAACTCATTCAGATGAGGAGGAGATGCAGATGCATGCCCTTGTCTTCCTCTCAGCTGCTCTCCACTTCTACCAGAGGAAACACTACAGCTGGGAATGCACCTGTTCCCAGAGGCTTGACATCACTTTACCTCTCAGAGCATATTACTTCAGTTTTAGAGGACCAGTGCTGCCCCTGGTCTGACAAACCTTTTATTTCACAAACCCTATAACCGCTGACTAGACACAACATGATCTTGCTAGCTGAGAGATCTCTGCGTCCTCTCTGCTTCTGCTGTCTCAAACTCACTACTTGGGACCCTCACCCACGGGAGGGTCTCACATATAGCAGATTGAAACAGCAAACAAACAAAAGCTCAGGTTTTCAAAGGTGATTTACAAACCTATTATCTAATTCTTCCTGAAAGGTTTATAGAGGTCTAGGATTTGACATTTGAAAATTGTGCACATCACGACTATAACCAAACATGAGCCGACAGACCTCTTGCTGTTGGCCATATTTTTAACTTCGTGGTTACCTGTGTTTTTGTTTTAAGAATAGATTGATGGCAGAGCCTAAGCAAGAACACCTCTGAACGTATGTGAAGAGGAACACTGAAATCCCATAGTCAAATTGCTGTGGAAGACAATAATACTGGTCAGTTAAAGGAGGCATTAAAGGATTTTAATTTAAAGATATGATAAACTTGCCACCAGCACTCTGTTGTTCAAAGCACACACATTAATATCTCCTATATTCAGTGATAATTCCCAAGGTCATGGTATGATAGATGGGAATTTATCATGAACTTGTGGTGACAAGTTTGGTTTCTCCTGACAATATCCAGAGTTTAGGACAAGACAAACCTGTCATAAGAGATGGAGAGCAGCAGTTAGAAGTGGGGCTTCTGGGAATTGATATTTAATTTGTTTCTTCAAGATGATACTTCTATGCCATATATGAGCAAAATACTATGAAAAAAGTCATCTTTAATTACAGTAACTTACTAAACTTTAATGAAAAATTATGTTTTATTTAACTGCTCCTATGAAGTTTATGCTGCATTTATTCAAGGTAATTTTCCTGTGCCCTCCTTGATCTAGGGAATGATCTCTTCCAAATTGCAGGATGGTTAATCTAAAAGAGAAGAGATCAAAGCATTCCTTTTAATTGCTTTAAAGTGACATGAGAAAACAATTAAGTCTGTTCCTCCTCTTCTTTATTTTTTTAAACTGTCATTTTAAGGATTTTGCAAGCTATTTTCCAACTGATATATGCATGAAATTCCAGTTGATAATTATATAAATCGCTGGCGTCCGTTATGAGGAGAATACAGCTCTGTGTTGCACATATACTGTTGGGTTCATCTCAGCTATCATCTAGCCATCTGAAAGTTATGGTCTGGTGTAAACTAGTCATGAAGATTTTCTCTGTTCTCAGTGGGGTCAGATGGGCACCTTCAGTGAGCGAATCATCCCATTATAAGATAGGTCTCTGATTTTACCTGGAATGTTTTTTCCTTTAGTTTTCCGCAAAAGGTAATGACAGATGTATCAGTTGGATTGACTCAGCAGAGCTCCTACTTCAAAACACTGCTTACAGGAGGTTGTAGTAGGACCATGGGCCCCTGACTTCTGGGTTCCTAAATTGGAGACTGCCCTTGGCGCAAGACAGGTGAGCTAGTGGGAAAGTAGAGAGATTTCTAGCCGGTTCCCACTGAAACAGAACTTGAATCCAGCCATCTTTGGGGATGTTTTAATTTCAATAAACTGATAAATTTTGAAGAAAAGTTGTTCAATCAGAACTTTTTAATATATAGCTTTAATGACGTGAATGGATTGGATTTTAGGATATTTGGATTCAGTTTCTACTTTTGCGGCTGCGAGACTTGATGACTTACTCCACCTCTGTGTTTTATTCACCCTTCTGTTCTTTATCTGAGCTGTCAGATAGGATGTTCTTTCTTCTGTGATCTCTTCCACTGTGCTAGCCCAATGAAGTCTCAAGCTGTCATGGAGTCTCTAGGTACTATCACAGTGTAAACAATAATAATATACATTTATTAAGCCAGTCTGTTGCTACATTGTATCATTTGTTGTACAGGCTGCTAGAAACATCTCCCTTTCATACCTAATCAAGTATTCGTTTAAAATGAACTTCAGTGTAATTCTATACGTTATTTCTTTATTACAGAAAAGCTATATTTTTAACCTACCTCCATCACTGTTATCTGAATATTTTTAGTAAACTTACTTTTCTTACAGGTACATGTGCACTTGCATGAGCGACATTATAATACCTAACACTTATGCATCCTCTGCAGATTGAAAATGCAGCCAAACCCTAAAATCACATGTCAGTAGGAGCCAGTGAAATGAGTAGAACTTCAGCAGCCCAAATGTGGCAAATTAATGCAATGCAATGCTTAAAAATGAATTATTATTATGAATTATAATGAATTATTCTGGGGGGTGACCTGCTGGAGAGCAGCTTTTGCAGAAAAAGACCTGGGGTGTTCACGAACAACAAGTTGACCATGAGCCAGCCGTGTGCCCTTGCAGCAAAGAAGGCCAATAGTATCAGGGAGTGTACTCAGAGGAGCGTTGCCAGCAGGTTGAAAGAGGTGATCAGAGATGTAGGCGACCCTCTACTCAGCCCTGGTGAGACCACATTTGGAGTGCTGTGGCCAGTTTGGGGCTCCCCAAAGTTTTACTCTCAGTAAAAGAGACATATGGACCTACTGGACCAAGTCCAATGAAAGGCCACAAAGAAGATTAAGGGACTGGAGCATCTGACATACTAGGAAAGGCTCAGAGAGCTGGGAGTGTTGAGCCTGGAGAAGAGAAGGCTCGGGGGGGGTCTTATCACTGTGTATAAGTATCTGACGGAAGGATGTAAAGGAAATGGAGCCACACTCTTCTCAGTGGTGCCCAGTGACAGAAGAGGCAATGGTCATAGACTGGAATACAAGATATTCCATTTCAAAATAAGAAAAAACCTTTTTCCTGTGAAGGTGATTAAACACTGGACAGGTTTCCCAGAGAGGTTGTGGAGTCTTCTTCCTTGGAGATATTCAAAACCCAACTGGATGTGGCCCTGAGCAACCTGCTGTGGTTGACCCTGCTTTGAGTAGGGGCGTTGGACTAGGCGATCCTCAGAGGTCTCTTCCAAAGTCGACTGTTCTGCCATTCTGTGATTATTGTTATCTCATCTGCTCTGTAAATACAGTGGAAAAATGGTATTTGTGCATTATTATATGGTTATTGCATTCACCTCTAGGTATTCTACCTAAATTCAAGCATAAGTAAGAACCCTAAAGTCTCTTCCAGCTATGTTTTCAGTCCGTTAACATCCTTAACAAAATACCTTTCAAAAGTGGAAAGAGTTTTTTATTTGAAGCGTTTTCTCCAGGCTAAGTGAGGCTCAATAATGACATAAAATGGACATGCAGAACAAATGCAACCTAATTATTTATTTGTAGTTAATATTCTCTGCTCACATTAAGGCTGTGAAGCAAATAAAAATTCTATTACAGATGGAATTCCCCTACTAGAGGAGAATTCCATTAACGATAATCTCTAATGATAAGAACTGATGCTAGTGTTAGTCCAGTGCCTTGGAGATAATAATTATTATGAATTCTTTTTCTTATATTTCACTTGCTTTGTACATAATTGCTTCACTAAAATAGGCTAGTTCTGTCCTGTTGCACGTGAGACTCATAGTGCTCTTCCACTGTTTTACACTGGAGTAATTCCACTACTAATATGAATTCACTCTTACTTTGTACTGCCTATATGAAAGGAAAGGTAGGCCCTCTTCCTGAACTTCAAGGAATGTCATTGAAACTGTTTCTCCCTTAGTTTAAAGAGCTATTTAATTCCTCATCAGTGATCGAAAAACCTGTGCTTTGTTCCAGTTGTGCAACTTTGACTGCAGTGAAGGAGGCTAGCAGTCACACAAAATTTAGTCCAAGGTGCATTCTGCAACCAGGATATGATGTGTCTTCTCACTTGCACAATAAAATGCAGCCCATTGCAGTATGAAATACTTTTGAGACTTTTTTAAGAAAATGAGAATGTATTTGACTGCTGTGTAGCACTAAATTTGCAGATTTCTAATAGCTCACTTAGGAGAAACTTAAAGAATGAGTAGGTGTTATGTAGCTTAGGGCACAGTCTGACTGTCCTCCAGCTCGGCCTGATCAGCCTGAATCCTTTCTGGGCACGTCAGTAGAAGTAACTTCTCTTCATGCATGTATGAGACTTTTCTGTGCTACTCTCTTACAGGCCTCATAGGTGAGGATGTGCCCTTCTGATACTGCTTTAATTAGTACCCCTTTAATCCTCTATTTATGTGAAAATACATACATGTTTCTGCATATATGTTTTATAACTTCAAAATCACTAGACAGACCCATTGTTCTATTGCAAAGTAAAGGAAAGTAAAACTAATATTGACAGTAATTTCTGTGGTCTGATCCAACCCATTACTCCGTGAAAGTGTCCCTCTGCCTCTCCAAGAGTCTTGTGGACAGCGGGGACTCCACACGGACACATGAGCCTGTCTGATGGATCAGCACCTCGACTTGCTACAACTAGCAGCAACAGGGCAAACTTGAAGGTCAGGGTAGATACACTGTTGGTTGCTTAATCTTGTCCCCATGGAAACCAAAATCAAAATTCATTTGATTTCAGTGATTCTTCCCTTACCTGTATTTCTGTTTATTTAATATACAGAAGGGGCCATTCTCTAGTCTGACGTTTTCATAACATAAGTCGTAGGATTTTGCTGGCTTAATTTATGTCTGATTCTAGAGCATATTTCTTAGAGAAACAATCAATCATCTCAATTTTAAAATATTTATAGATGAAGACTTGACTGTAACCCCAGGGAACTGTCCCAATGTTTAATTGGCTATGCGTTTAGCTTCAGCTTCCAGCCACGGGATCTCATTACACGTGGGGTTTTTTTTTCAGCATAATGAAACAAATAGAAAAAACTGTCAAAGAACCCCACTAAGAAATTTCTGGAGGATTTCAAAAATTATCATCAAATCTATCTAAAATGCCTTTCTTGGTAAATTGAGAGATTATGCTCCTATCAGTTTGGCTGGTTTTAGTCTACATAATACATGGTATGTTGATATTGTGTGGCTATATTTTGTTTAAAATGTCATGCAGTCCCAAGTCAACTTGCTTACAGAGGTCTGCTGTTATTACATGAACACCATTCTTTTTATCATCCAAATATATAATCCCACCAAAAAAAAAATTCATTCAGCTGTTTCATCAAATCTGTTTTCTATAAATCCACATTAATTGTCACAGATTGCGTTAACTTCTTTCATTCTATATTAACTGAGTATAGGTCATATGCCTTTTTATTTTTCTGGGGATGAATGTCAAGCTGACAAGCTTGTAAGAAAACAGGTCATATTAGCACAACACTATTTCTCTGAATGTCAAGACCTTTTAAATGACCCTAGGCCTTTTAATGACCACATTTTTTGAAAACTGAATCAAAAAATTCAGCATGAACGATCCAGAAAACTCCTGGGGTTTCTCCTTCAAACTCTTGAGTGGAATTTATGTAGATATACTTACATAAATGGTTAACTTTAATAACTGCTGATTGACATTATCCCTTGTTGCTCCTGAAATGAATGCATTTTGTGATTACTTGATATTAATCCATTCTTTTGTATTTTTCACAGGAAAGAATAGAAACATTTATTGAACAATTTTGCTTAGTCTTCATAATTGCCCAAGACACATATATAGTACAGGAATTTTGTTATTTTTAAAGTTTATATTATTCCTGAGAAACTTAAAACTCAGCATATTATTTGTAAGTCTGAAGCTCCTGGAGTTGTCTTTGTGGCTCTGCTTTCTTGTTTCAGTTTTCTAAAACGTCTAGCTTCAAATTTAAATACACTTATTTGCATTGCTGCCATCATCCTTTCTTTCACTTTCTCTCTAACCTAAGCCGATCTGCTGACCAGCCGAGCCTTATGTCTAATTATGGCACTGTGGCTGTTTGGGCACCTAGTACATTGTTCTAAACATCTCTCAGTGATTATTCATGTGTTTCTGCTTAAATTCGTTTTCATAACTGATTGAGCTGGTAACACCTTTTTGCTTTGTGAATCCAGCCCTTTCAACGTGCCAGATTTAGTGGTCAAGACATTTGCTATAACAACCATAATCAATCCACAAGCACTTTTTCTGAAGCAGCTGCTCAGATTGGAGCACCCCTTTTTATAATCAGCTTTATTTTCTGTGTCAAGATGGAGTCTAATATAGAATTATTCCACGTTCTTCCGTGAGTTAAACTGACAAATATATTTTTAGAAATCTTAAGTATCACTTCACAGTGGCAGCATAAAAAATTGAGCATATGTCACTCAAATGAAAGGCACCATCAGAACACTATTTTATTCCCGCTATATGAATTATAACGGGTTTTTGCAGAGCTAGTATGTAGCAGATAACAGCTACTGACCCTTCATATATGCTTTGTATGTTAGAATATGCGTTTCTAAATGCAGATTATTTGCTTTTGAGCTATCAAAGCTAAAGGGACAGGTAGTGCCACTTTTTGACACAAATAGTGGATTTTATCTGACCAAATGTAACATACCCCTGTAGATGTGTGTGTCTGCTCTAGTTATCGTGTCTCCATTTGCAGTCAACAATGAGGCGCATTCAGGTCAAAGTCTTTTCCATCTGAATCTGAAGTGGGTTAGAGGGATCATGCCTTAAGAGCACCTTGTTTGTGCCCTTGGCCGCTGAAGGAACTACGTGAGGGAGTCTGAACTTAACAGAGATGAATCTCGTCTGGAGTGTCACTTGTCTTTTTGAAGGGCTTGATCTTTCCCACCTAATTGTATCTAGTATGCAGGTGCCTAATGGGGAAATTACACTGATATAACTGAGCCATACTAGGATGGAGTTTTGCTGCTTTAACTGTACCAAGGTATTTGAAGCACAGTAATTTCTGTGCATGCACTGAAGAAGTGGCAGGTTGTACTTTGGCACGTGATAAAAATAGGCTTCTACCAACATTGTGACTAGCTACATCAGTACAGCCTAGACTTTATATTAGAGTTTGAGATTATGTCTTCACTGCGATACAAGATGAGCTTTTGCCTGAGATGTTAATTAACAAAGACAGTCTATTATCAAAAAAGTAAATCCTCAACCCCTACCCTTCTTTCTGGGAAAAGGACTTTTTAAGATTAGAATTAATTAACTAACTCTATCTGAAATTCCTACGAAGAGAAGTCAATTTGCAGTTTTTATTAGTTTGTCAGGTCAAGATAGAGCACTTCAGAATTAGTCTCTCCTAATTAATTTGCATAATAAAGGCGATTGCTTCATTAAGAGAAAGTCTATATGTGCAGTGAGTTTGCAGACCATAGGCCTGGGCAGGCCTTCTTCACTAGCAAGAGTATGTGACGCGCCACTAGAGGGGCGTCCGGGATTCTTTCGTATTCTGGGATTAGTTGCACTGAACTCGAGAGATCATCTTTTGTCAGATGTAAGAATTTATTAGATCTAAGCGGTTCTACACATATGACGGACACTGGACAACACTAAACCATTAACAGCAGACAATCTACAAATATAACAAAGCTAAGCAGTATAGTAAAGAATTAAAACCAGAACAGACTACACATATCAGAGCTCTATGGTTAAGCCACGGAAGCACAGTACAATGACTGCTCTCGGATGCACGGTATAATGACCGCTCTCGCCCTTTCCTTGTCCTTATGGGCCACCCCTCCGGTATAGTTTTCCCCGGATTGTTCTCACCACGCTCGAGCTGCGCCAAGAGGATTCAGGTTCTCTCTGGCAGTTGGCATCAGGGGCGTCCCCGCTGATGGGTGGGTTGTCGGGTCCGCAGGCCCGCTGACGGTGAGTCCGAGTCCACACAGAGGTATGTGGCTTACTTACTTTTATCCTTCCCGGGCTTAGTTCATTAATCAGTGCCAGACCATAGCTGGACAATGGAACAGATGGTCTTGGGTGGTAACAGTATGGATGCCAACAGGATGGTCAACAGAATGCAGTATGCACATTGAACAGCCATCAGTACGAAATTCCAAGGTATCTAGATGCTTACAGTGTGAGTCTGCGGTGTCACTTCTCCTTTGCTGACTCGGTTTGCTCTGCACTCATGAGGCTACGGCAACCCCACAGTGTGGTGGCTCT